TGACGTGAAAGTCCACGTGAGGCGGGTTCTGTGGTCACGTGGACCCGTTTTACAGCTGAGAAGGCTAAGGCTTGGAGACACGGCCGGACCAGGCTGAGCCCACGTGACCGGCCTGGCCAGAGACCAGGCTGCCCTTGCTCTTCCTCCTAGATGCCATCCTGCATCCCAGTGCCAGTGGAGTTGACCCCCTTATCCTCAGGGCATCGGTCCCCACACACCCAGGGGTGCCAGAAACCACAGATGTCACCAGACCCTGTATATGTGCCGTGCATCCCTCCTTGTCCAGGGACCTGCCGTGGATGGTCAAGTCCGTCATATAAAGTGGCCTGGTGTTGGCCCAGAACCTACGCACACCTTCCCGCAGACTTTAAATCATCTCCTCATTATTTACAACCCCGAATACAGCGTCAGTGCTATGTCCGTGGCTCTTACACTCGATAGATTAGAGAATGACAGGAAAAGGTTCTGTACGTGTTCAGCAGAGAACCAACCTTTTTTTTTGGTGTGTGTGTGTGTGTGTGTGTGTGTGTGAGAACCGGGGCTGCTTTACCATGGAGCTACATCCCCAGGTTTTTGGTTGCTGATGTTATTTTTTTTATTTCGAGTCACCGTCTCACTAAATTGTTGAGGCTGACCTCGAACTTGCAATCCTCCTGCCTCAGCCTCCACAGTTGCCGCCGCACCCAGCACGGACGCAATTTAAAAAGAAAGATGTTTTCAATCCACAGTTGGTTGAATCCGCGCTGCAGAAGCCACAGAATCACAGGGAAGCTCGGTGTGTCCTTCTCCATCTACCTACCTACGTCTGGTAGCATTTAATTTATAAACCAGGCCCAGGAAGAGAGGAACAACCACAGCGGATAATAAAATCGAGAGGTTGTAATAGCATATTGCAGCAAGATATATCTCACATGTTTATTTCTGGAACTTTCCATCTATTATTCTGGGTGACAACAACCTCAGAAAGCAGTGCTGCAGATAAAGGGGATGGTGATCCATGCCTTGCCCCTCGACCTTGGCAAAGCACCTCCATCTCCACCATCTCTTTGGAGCCCGAGGATCACGTGGTCCCTACTTAATGCACAACGCCACCGAGAACCAGAGTTGGGTCCAGGGCTGAGCGTGGCGGGGCTGGTTACCGGGGAGCGCGCCGCGGCTGCCATCCGCAGCCTTCACACCTGCGCTGCCAAAATGCATTTGATATTCTCCCCCCATAAACCTGGCTTTTTAACATTCGTCTGAAGTCAGCTTCTCGCTGCTGTAACCATCCTGATTTTCCCACTTATTTTCTGGCTTTTTTTTTTTTTTAAGCCACTGGGATCTGGTTCCACTGTCAAGTTCACGGTTCTTTTCTAGGAGCCGGGCAGTGCTTGGGTTTTCATCCTTCAGAGAGTCCCCTGTCTGTGAAGTCCCCGAAGTTCTGACTCGAGGGATGGCTACCTACCATCATCTGCCCTACAGCTGGGGGTCAGTCCCAGGAGCAGATTTTCTTATTTATAGGATGGAGACAGTTGGGTGGAGCTCAGGGACCTTGGCAGGGTTGCAGGACCCCAGATTCGCTGCAGCCTGTGCTCAGCCACTTTCTGGGGACAGCTATGAGCCTCACAGTGTGTGTGTGTGTGTGTGTGTGTGGGGGGGGGGGGTCCTGGCTCCCTCCCGTGGGGTCTGGATGTGCGTGAACCACGCCACCGGTGCTCAGCCCACACAGCAGAACTCTGGGGTTTCTGGTCCCCATTTTCTTTGCAACTGTCTGCTACGAGGACCACTTTTTTTTTTCTTTCATAGCTGTAGAGGCACAGAACGCCTTTATTTTTTTATTTTTATGTGGCACTGAGGATGGAACCCAGGGCCTCACACGTGCGAGGTGAGCGCTCTACCACTGAGCCCCAGCCCCAGCCCCGAGGATGGTTTTATTTAAGCAGAAGAAGCTGTTGCGTTGCTAGGGTCGTCTTTGATTTCCCAGTGCCCCCTCCTCTGCTCCAGAAGGAAAGCATCCGTGTGTCTGTCTGTCTGGCTGCGAATCTGCTCTCCAACCGCTGCAGCGAGCCATGAAGGGCTTTTCCCCACGTCAGTGTCCAGGTGTAGAGCCCCAGAGGGCGGGTGGACCCCAGGGTGGCTGGGGCTGGGTGACACCGGGCTTCCGCCCCCACCTCTGTCCTCACCGTGCGGCCTGGGAAATGGGTCACCCTCTCCAGGCCTTAAGGACAATAGCGCACTCTTCCCAGCGCCAAATGATGGACGCTCAAACCATGATAGCCCCCACCATAGCGGGGATACATACCAAACCCTCCGAAATCATCAGCTCCGGGCTGGGGACGGAGCTCCGTGGGTAGAGGGCTTGCCTCACAGGCACAAGGCCCTGGGTTCAATCCCCAGCATCACAAAAAAAGTCACTGTTTTTCAAAATGCATTCATTCAGCAACGTGGCAAGAGCCATGGGGGGACTGGAAGGCAAGGGAAGGGTCTATCTCCCAAGCCTTGACTGGGTGACGGTGGGTGGCATGACAGGTGGCAGGTGTTTCGTTGGAGGGGTAGTTGGATGGTGCTGTGTTTGGATGGGAAGATGGTTGGATCAGACAGAGGGGTGGGTGGGTGGATGGATGGATGGACAGATAGATGACTGGGTGGACAGAAGAATGGAAAGATGGATGGGTGGATCGATGGATGGATGGACAGACGGATGAACGGGTAGATGGAGGGTAGATAGATGCATGGGCGGGTGGATGGAAGGATGGACAGGTGAATAGCTGAAAATGTAGCTTCAGTGGTCACCTCACGTTGTCAGCCTCCCATCAAATACAAAGAGTCCCCTCGGGTACCCGTGACAGTCCTTGGATGCATGCCTGCTCCCTGCAGTAACTAACTTAGGAGGCGTTTCATGACCAAGCATCGCCGTCAGGAACCCTTCCTTCCGTGCTCTGGGTTGGACCATGTCCTGTGTCAGGGGTTTGGGGAGTGGCCTTTGGAGTGAGACCTGGATTTGAATCTCGGCTTAACGAACTAAAGCAGGGCGGCCTGCAACAAACCCTTGGCCTCTCTCCGCTGTGATTTCCTCGTTTGAGAAAAGGGGGTTAACGGCACCACCGTGCAAGGTCACCGTGAGGACATCGTGTTGGGGGCAGGTCAATGCTTGATGAAAGGTGCTGTGGTTTTACTGAGCCAGAATGTGCTCTGTACCTTTTTTTTTTTTTTTGGACAAGAACCAGCTGTGTGCTAGATATCGTTCGAGTGTTGCATAGTTAATGGTCAACAGATCTGAAATAGTCCCCGGTCTCTCCGAGATTTTGCTCCAGTGCTGTGTTCAGACAAAGAAGCAGATAAGCATCTTCAGATGGTGCTAAGGGCTAGGAGGAAAATGGAATCAGGAGAGGCGAACAGCGTAAGGGACGGAGGCGGGAGTCCTCTTGGTGGGCTGTAAGCCAAAGTCAGAAAGGAGCAGCCAGGCAGAGATCTGGGGACAGGGACTTCTAGGCAGCAACAATGGCCGTGAAAAGGTCCTGAGGAAGAATGAGCTTGCCCAGGGAAAGGCAGGTAGACGAGGTGGCAAGGTGGGAAGTGGGACTGGTCAGGGCAGAGAGGTCCAAGGAGTGACGTCAGCCAGGCCTCCCGGGCAGCCGGATCAGGACGTTATCCACGTTAATGTCATCCTGTGGTCGGGAACATGGAAGGACTCCTGTTCATTGAGTGGTCATTCAGTTTTCCGACGGCAGCTGACAGGCTCTGCAGTTCTTGACCTCGGGCTCCACGGTCCACGTTCTTTGCATTCCTAGTTGGTCTTCTGGGACACCCACAACTGCCTCCCCCCCCCGACTTCAGTGTGAGTGCCCTAGACCCAGATCCCATAGGAAATCTGTTAAACCCAAAGGACATTGGGCTGAGGAAAGCGAGGAGATTCCCGTTGGAAGCGCGATGAACTCAGCCGGGAAGCTGTGTTTCTCCCGGGGTCCTTGTCCCTGGGGGATGTGGGGGGGAAACGGAGAGAAGGAGTCCTTGAGGCTGATTTCTGGATAAAATATGTCTGGAACCGTTTATCTGGGCAGATCTGGTGCAGGGTCTGGCTTTAAAAGAAAAATAACACCATGATCCACGACGTGGCTCCCCTCCCGCCTGGTGGACCCGGGGGTGCAGATGGGCTCACTAGGACTCGGAGACTCACCGCCGCCCCGTGTCGGTTTTCTTCCGGAAAGTTCTCTCCATGTCGGGACAGAAAGGCTCTTAGGATCTTGCAGTTCGGTGGGCAACAGAAAGCGACCCTCCCCGATCTCACATTCCAGGCTGAGTGTGGCTCTTGTTGAGCGCTGTCCTGGTGGGCTCTCGTGTCCCCCTGAACCGTGCTCTGGCCTGGGAGAGGCAGCGTTGTGATGGGCTTGTCCTGCCTGGTGTTTGGTGGCTCCTCTGCATCCACCTGGACCGAGCATGGCGGGGAGGGGGCCGTCTCCAGCAGCTTCAGGTGACCGAGCTTAGGATGCGAGATGAACGCGCCCGTCATTGCGCCTCCGGTGAACAGTATGGTACTGTGCGCTTTGAGTCGGTGCAGAGGGTCGGTCTCAGGTTATCTGCTCTCAGCACAATTCGAAGGGCGCAAGGAAACGCATCGGGTGCTGTTAGGAGAAGAAAGGACAATAGATTCCAGCCAGAGAAAACCGGCTCCTGTGTTGGGGTTCCTAACCCAGAGGAAACGCAGCTTCCCCTGGGGTTCAAGGCTCCCTCCCCGAGCTCGACTCCCCTGCCTCATGTCACGGCCAACAGTGTCCCCGGGTCTCCATCCGTCTTTTTCAGGCTGCTTGGGAGTGGAAAGTAGGTGCTAAGCACCGGGGTCTCCTACCCGACTGGGGCCTGGACCTGCCTGGCTGAGTTGAATCAGGTCCCAGGGCCCAACGTGAAGGTACCCGGGGAATAGTCCCCCAGAAAGGAACAAAGAAAAAAAATCAGAGCCACTCCCTGCTGCCCCGTGGAGGCTGAGCCTCACCCTCACCTCCGTGGTCTCGGGTTTTCCCCAGGCAAAGCCAGCAAGAACGTTCAGTGGGACGAAGACTCCGTGGAGTACATGCCAGCCAACCCCGTCAGGATCGCCTTCGTCCTGGTGGTCCACGGCCGAGCCTCCCGGCAACTGCAGCGCATGTTCAAGGCCATCTACCACAAGGACCACTTCTACTACATCCACGTGGACAAGGTGAGGAGCCGCTTCCCCTCCCGCCGTGCTGGGCTTCCTTTGCAGTCTGTCTGTCCCTCTCTGATCCCTCCTCTCTCTACAAGTCCCTGCTAAGGCGCAGAGGCTGACCAGCATGCGGTTTCAGAGTTACCAACTGAGGCTTCTGACTTTCTCCATAAACATTATTTTTCTTTCTTTCTTTTTATTTATTTTTATTTTGGCAGTGGGTACCAGGAATTGAACTCAGGGGCGCTTAACCACTGAGCCCCCTCCCCAGCCCTACTTTGTAATTTTACTCAGAGACAGGGTCTCACTGAGTTGCTTAGCGCCGGGCTGTTGCTGAGGCTGGCTTTGAACTCGTGATCCTCCTGCCTCAGCCTCCCGAGCCGCTGGGATGACAGACGTGCGCCCCCACACCCAGCTATTTTTTACTCTTGATAGACACATAATAATCATACAGATTGATGGGGTGCCGTATGACATTCCAACGTATGCATACATGCTGTACCCAGCCTGTTCCGAGTAATGAATATGTCTGTTGCCTGAAATGCCCATCATTTCTCTGGGGTGGTGACATCATTCAGGGTCTTCTATTTTTTTGATATTTTTTTCGTTGTCAGTGGACCTTTATTTTATTTATTTATGTATGATGCTGAGAATTGAGCCCAGGGCCTCACACATGCTAGACAGGGGCTCTACCCCTGAGCCCCCGCCCCAGCCCCATCCCTTCTACTAATTTTCTTGAAATGGATGCTGGGTCGCCTCCTGCTCCCAGACAGCTGTGTGGTCCTCCCACCTCTTCTCCTGCCCAGCGCCTCCCCCTGCCCCGCAGACCTGGTAGCCAGAGTGGGCTCACCTTTTCTATAAAAGGTCCAGGTCATAAATAATCCCGGCTTTGTGACCCACACGCTCTGTGCCTCAGCCGCCCGGCTCTGCCCCGGTGGCGGGAAAGCAGCCACAGAAAACGTGTGGACAAATGGACGTGGCCATGTGCCAATAAAGCTTTATTGACAAACCCGGTGGGCGACGTGCTCTCTGGGAGCTCTCCTGCCCCGGGAGTTTCCGTTGGCTGCAGATGAGGCCAGATGGCAAAGGGGCGGTTTCATGGCCAAGATCTGCTCCAAGCACAGCAGGGAGAGGGTGACGGAGGGCCACAGTGGGCAGGACGGGTGCAGACTCCATACAAGTCACATGTACAAACGCAGAGCCCCAGACCCTGCCAGCCCAGGGCTCGAGGCCATTAGCTCCGAAGTGGGGCTGGGAACCTGCATTTCCCATTAAAATTTCCAATGAATAGAAGGGCGGAGAGGTGCAGGGAGACCCCCGGCCAGGATCGGTGGCTTGGCCGAGTCTCCTGCGTCCAGACACCAGTGGCCAGGAGGGAGGAGCAGAGCGGGCCTGGGTGGGGTGTGCCCAGCCTGCCTGGCGCCGGGCCCTTTCTGGGCTGCTGAATGTCACCTTTCTCTCCTGGGCAAAGCGCTCTAATTACCTGCACCGGCAAGTGCTCCAGTTCGCCGGGCAGTACGGCAACGTCCGCGTCACCCCCTGGAGGATGGCCACCATCTGGGGGGGAGCCAGCCTCCTGGCCACCTACCTGCAGAGCATGCGGGACCTGCTGGAGATGACCGACTGGCCCTGGGACTTCTTCATCAACCTCAGCGCGGCCGACTACCCCATCAGGTAAGGCGGCCGGTGGCCCCGGGGCCGGCCTGGTCTGATGTCCTGCTTCCTCTTTCTCCCCCTCTCCCTGGGACACTGGGGAGCACGGGCAGTCTGCTTCCTGTCCAGAGAAGCGCCCTGCCTCAGTGAGACACGCCATGGGCCTCCCGCGCTCTCCCTGAGGTCCTGACCCTGGTGCAGGCTGGACCTGAGGGCCCCCGGGCACTTCTTCCCTCACCAGGACCAGAGAGAAGTTTGGAGCACATGGTCCTCCCAGCTCTGTCCCAGGCTGCCCCTGTGCTCCAAAGAGACAGAGACCCCTGCCCGCGGGGGGCTTCCATTCCAGCAAAGACCAACCAAAGAAGTCAACTGTAGGTAGAATAACGACACGCTGTGGTCCCAGTTTGTTGGGATGATGGCATGTTGGAAAGATGAAGCAGAGAACAGAGGCAGGGGCGGGCGGGATTGCGATGGAGCAGCCAGGGTTGTCCCCAGATGAGAAGGAGTGAGCCCCGCCGAGGGGGAGAGTGGCCCAGGTAACAGGCGGGGAGGGCTGAGCCCTGGGGTGGGACCATGCCTGGGGTGTGCCCGGGACAGCAGGGCTGAGGGGCCGTAACACGGCGAGCGAGGGCCAGGGTGACAGGAGACACATGGTCAGAGACACTGGGGCTCCGTCATGGAGAGTCTGGAAACCGTGGTCAGTCCAAGCAAGATGGACGCCACCGTGAGCTTGGAGCAGAGGAAGGACAAGGTCAGACTTGGGTGTTGAGCTCCAAGGCGGGGAGGGGGAGAAGGCGTCGGCTGCGAGGTCCGAGCAGCATCACAGATGGTGGGTGTCCTCGGGCTGCGTGAGGCCCACAGGTGGGTCCGTGGGGCCCCCACCAAATTTTCACAGATGAGCTGACGGCCACACTGGCAGCGCCCACCTGAAAGGACAGGTTCTGGCATCTGTAGAAGCGCTGTGCCCTCCACCTTCGGCTGGCACAGTTACCTGGAGCTGGAGGTGCAGCCAGCAGCCCCAAGGTGCCGGCAGGAGGGCTGTCCCTTTGTGCATGTGGTGTTTAAAGGACATCATCAGCCAAGAAACCTCCCTGGAGATGGTGCAAGAAAACAGAGAAGCAAGACAATGAACTGCACTTGCAATCAAGAAGGCGGCTCCCAGGCAGGCGCCGTGGGACACCTGTCAGCCCAGCGGCTCGGGAGGCTGAGGCAGGAGGATTGCGGGTTCAAAGCCAGCCTCAGCCAAAGCGAGGTGCTAAGCAGCTCAGTGAGTCCCTGTCTCTAAATAAAATACAGAATAGGGCTGGGGTAGGGCTCAGTGGTGGGTGCCCCTGAATTCAATCTCCGGTATTCCCCCCCACCACACACACACACACACACAAAGAAGAAAGCCACTCTTTGCCTGTGTGTTCTTGTTGACCAGGGCGCACAGGAAATGGATTGGGGGTGAAGGGGGCCTCTCTGCCACCCATGGCAACGGGGCACTGGATTCAGCCTTCCCTGGAGAATTGGTCAAAGGTGTCTAAAAAGAAACTTCATCAGGACAATTTTCAAACACACACGAGAGTAACGTAAGCAGCACCCCGTGAGCCTCACCCACTTTTGGCGACCATCAGTCACAGCCGGGCTGCTGGCCCAGGACTCTCGCCCTCCTGGCCCAGCCTGGGTTGCTGTTGAGTGAATCCAAGACACCCGTACAGCGGCATCTGTAAATGTTTCACAGATAGGACTGTCTTTGAACACGACGTCAATAGGACGCTCCCACATGAAATGGTTGAGTCAGGATCCAGACAAGGAACAGGTATGAAGAAGACCTCGCTGCAAAGGTCACAGCGTGGTCCTCGGCTCCCTTCTCCGTACCTGGGCTCAGGGGCATCCATCATCTGCTGGGAGACTCCAGATGAGTGAGAGGGAAGCACAATCTCTGGTCATTTTGAACAAGATACACCTGTTTCCTTTTGTTCGTAGACTAATAGAGACAAAGAGAACAGGTTTAAAAGCCTTGCTGACAAATGTCTACCTACCGTGAATTTTCATTTATTCAACATTTATTGAGCAACTACTACGCTAAGCACTGTTTGGGAATTTAGTGAACAGAAACAGCTTCTACTTCTCCCCGGCCTCGTGGAGCACATGTCCTAGTTGGGAAGATGGAATCATGAGAGGGACACCAGCAGGACGAACTAGGGCCCTAGAGAAGAAGAGGCGTGAGTGAGAAAACCTGGAGGAACATAAACAGGAGATCAGAAAGACATGGGCATGTTCAGCTTTGAGCTGAGGCCTGCAGAGGAACAGAGGCTGATCGACAGGGAAACAATAGAGATCATTCTCGATCAGGATTCCCCAGCCATGGCACTGCGGATGTTCGCTGATGGATAATTCTCTGTCGTGGGGCAGTTCTGTGCGTTGTAGGGTCTTTGGCAACACCTCTGGTCTCTGCCCACTAGATGCCAAGAACACACCCTGCCCACTCGTGCAAACCACACATCTCCGGACATTGCTGAGTGTCCCCTAGGGCCCAAGTCACCTCCAGCTGAGAGCCGCCATTTCTGATGGAGTGATAGCCTGGGTGTGATGGGGGTCAGAGATGAGCTTACTGCATTTGAGAAATTTAAAACACGGGTGGAGCATCATGCGTTAAAAGTGAGGAGACGGGTAGGGCGCACAGAGGTGGAGGTTAGAACATTCCTCTCCATCTTCTAGGGAAGGACTGAGTCCAGAAATGCCCCCCAGTGCTACGCACAGCCCCTAGTGGGACCGGTCCTCCCTTCAGCCCTCACAGCAAACTCGTTCTACAGATGGACAGGCGGAGGCCCAAGGTCATGGGGTGAGCTCATGGCACAGCAGGGATTAGAACTGGTTCTGTCTATGGCAACCTCGGCACGCTTTCTGCTTGAAGTCAATCTCTTGGCAAAGTCAGCAGCCTCAGACTGGCTGGCTGGTCCCCAGCTGCATAGCAGACAGAAGGGACAGTCCAGGCCCTTGAGCTCCCTCATGGCCGGGCAGGACAGTGGACACACTGCAGCAGGGGATGTCAGGGCAAGGTGGTGCACGGTGACTGTTGTCTCTGAGGATGAGGAGCTATGGTCAAGGTTCCCACACTCCCCCTTCTCCAGACTTTCACTGGAAGCCTCAGAGGTCACTGCAGCCTGGGACCCGGGGCCTCATTCTGCCTGAGACCTGCGGAGGCCCCGTAGGTGGTGTGCGCACTGCTGCCCCCTAGAGGCGCTGTGTATAGGTAGCTGTGCGCACTGCTGCCCCCTAGGGGCGCTGGGTTGTGTTGCTTGGAAGTCGAGCCCGTAACCGAGGCCGCTTCAACTCAAGGGGGGCCCAGCTCTGCTCAGCGTCCACGACAAAGCGTGCCCAGATCCCACCCCAGACCGCTCTGCAGCTTGCACTGTGGCCATGAGCAAGAGAACGCCATCAAGATACCACGAAACACAGAGTGTCCGACCCTTGGAAGGTGCTCAGTACACGCCAACTGTTTACATGTAAGCTCCATCCAAAGTGGTGTCTCCTATCAGTGGATGAGATACCAGAAACCCTTGCCCAGACCGTGTGTGCACCCTACCTCAGGGTCCACAGGGGACATTCCCCATGTTTACAACTTCTTTAGCTGGGCCTTGGTGGTCTGGCTGGCCCTGGCTGGCTCTCTCCCTGATCTCACTGCCGTGGTGCCCACCGCCCGTCCCACTCTCCTGTCATTCTGCCCGCCAGCCTCAGGGCCAGAGGCGCCTCCTGCACGCGGTGTGGCTGGTGCCTCTGGCCGTTGTTTTCGGGGAGCCGCCTGCACCAAAACATATGAAGTTTGCAGATGAATGATTTTATCCTGGGCCACTCGGCTAGGTTTCCAGTCCCATCTGCCGCTCCATCTGTGGCTTCCAAACCACTCCTCCCCCCATCCCAGGAAGGATGAGCAAACTCGGGCACCTGCGGGAAGGGGTGGGCGTGCCCAGGTCAGACCCTGAGGAGCCGAGGGGGTCTTCAAGGGCAGAGGCAGCAAGGTGTCCATCCTGAGCGGCTCTGTGCTGGGACACCACCTTCCAGTGTCCCCCGCCCGGCCCTAACGGAGCGTCCAGCCCCTCCCTCTTGGGTGGTGAAGACCTGTGGGTTTACTGGTCCCTAGTCTTGGGTAGGCCCTGGACACAAAGAGCCTCGACTGAGTTCCACCTTCCGGGCCGATCTCAAAAGACCGTCTGGAGGGTAAATGGACTATGGCCCGTCCAGCGTCCCTGGTGGCCGGATGTGCAGCAAGTCTGGGTGAACGCTGGCCGGTCCTCTGGCAGTGGGTCGTGGGGGCCCCAAGGTGGGACCTCATCACCCTGGATATCAGTTGCTCCCCCTCTTCCCTCCACGGAGTTTAAACAGAAGTAAAACGGCTCTTGAACCCACCTCCCCCTCCAAAGTGGGAAGGGCAGAGTTAGGCGGTGAGGACGGAAGGCCGCCAGCGCCCTGTGGTCAGGGAGGGTTTTCCCGCATTTGGAAGGTTCCCGGGAAGCGTGTTGGAAGACCCCCGGCCTGGCCGCTGTGCTGTGGACGCTGCCTGGCCCAGGGAGGCTCTGACTGGAGCTGGTCTCGGACGGGAACAGCTGTTTCCAAACTCGAGGTCTTGACTCCAGCGCCTGAGGATTTTACTCAGTGTGTTCTACCCACAGAGGCGGGGACCAGCCCTGCGTCCTTCAGATTGGCCACAGGAGGGGATGAAGCCGGACGCCCTTGGCCCTGTTGGTTGGTTTGGACCCGCGCAGAGCATCATTAGCTCAGCCCCGTGACATCATGGGCAGGGTCGGGAGACGATGTGCGCACAGGGTGGTGATTTCAGGAGCCAGGGCTCCCTCTGACTTCACTCAGCTGACTGACCTCCTGCTCGGGGCTGAATATACCATTGCAAAGGAGGCGGGTGCTCCGAAAGGGAGGGGGGAGCCCTGAGCCCTGGAAAGTGAGTGTCACCTGGATGAGGTGTGGGCGACCTCTCCAAGGAGCAGCGTGGGACCTGGGGTCCCAGGAAAAGTGTTCCAGGA